CTCCCCTTGTATGAGACTAATGCGATAAAACTGATGATGGCTTCGATTTTTGAAGAGAAATTAGGGAAATTATGTGTTTGTAGAATATTTGGTTTTCGAGTTCCAAAAAAAATGTGATTGTAATCAATCGTAAATTTGGAATTTTTACGCGAGATCAAAGTGATAAAATTAAGGGTTTGATTTTTGAAGATACCCTTCGAAATGTGACGCATTAAAATCGAAAACCACTGATCGGAATATAATGCATATATATAATGTTACATATATGCAACAATCAATACAAAATGATTAAAGTTAAGAAGAATTGCACGAACTGGAACATATATACCGTTATAAAGAATAAAAATATCTGGAAAAAATGAGAATCAAGTGTGTAATATAAATTAATTAAACGACTATCGATCCTGTCAAAATATTTAAAATTAAATAGCCATCCAGTTGAATTTTTTACAATCACTTGTTCATTTCTTTATCATAATGCACTTCATCACCGTGCTCTCAAAAACAAGATAGAGATGTGAAAGGCAGCAACTCCACGTCCGATTAAACGTTATCGCGAAGCTCATTATATTTGCGCGTGTAGGCAATTTATGCGTATGAACGTAACCACACGATCATCCCTTATCGCGGTGTCAAGGGTCGTCCCAACGCTGGGATCGTCTCTCACATTCATTTCAGGAGAGATTAATCGTTACCGTGACGATAATCTATCGTTGTATAAATTACCAGCTCGGTTTATTAAGATACGAGACTGTAAATTGAATTTTCTTTTCATCAAGGTCCATATACACGCCGTTGATGTCCATAAATGTGAAGAAAATTCGTTTAATCGAGCACCTATATGAAATTTTATGATAAAAACTTTAATATCTAAATATATTGATATCATTCTCTTTTATTTTTAAATTGGAAATTATGAAAATAATTAAGTGAAATAAAAAACAATTAATCTTGCAATTGTATATTACCTTTTTAAATTATATCTATATTAAATGATATCAAATTTGTTAAATTGAAAATATTTCTAACGAAATTCATTCATATATTTCCTAATTTAGTTTGAAGCTGAAACTTAGAATAAGATAATAATAATTAATAATAAATAAAAATTAAACAAAATTTTAATAATATATAATTGAATAATTATAATTAATAATTATCAAACGTTGAAACTTTCTTAGAATTTCTCAATAAAGATTCTTTGATATCTTATTATCCTAAAATTTTGATAAACTAACATAAGATAACCAAAAAAGGAATTTGAAATAAGAAAACAGAACAATTAAGATTTTAAATCACCGAAAATTGGATTAAAGGTACAAATAAATTTCCTATTCAACGTTAATAATTAAGATAATTAAGGATAAACTAAGAAATAAATCTACTTTTTCCAATAACGATAATTGATAACTAAATTTAGAACGCATATATTTGAAGGAAAATAGGAAACGCGTGCATACCTCGATACAATCTAATGTTAGACAGCTTGGAAGGGATTCGAAGAATATTCAAGGCTTTTTCTACGCCGTATGGAAAATGTTCGCTCTCGACAAACAGCGAGGGTGTCACCGGATACCATTTCTGCCCCCGTAAATTAGTTTTCTTAAGCGTAATTAATCGTCACCGATCACTGAGACGAGCGTTAGTGAACTGATCGATTCAACCTTTCGGCAAATCTGCTCGTAAATCGTCCTCGTTCCTCCTTGCTCCGGTAAATAATGAGTACGAGCGTCTATTTTCGTAAATTCGACGATGTGTCGAATGTGTTTATATTCATAGAACAGTATATCACTCGTTTGTTTCTTCCGTATGTAAACAATTACGACTTTACACGTGTATGACTACGTGAAAACTTTAAACTTTAAATATTATAGATGAATATTATAAATGACGATTTTTAATTATTAATCCCTCGTTCAATTTTTTAACCTGAAAAAAAAAATTATCTTATTATTTAAACAATCAATTTATTTAAGGATTTTATACTTGTATATATGTATATGTATACGTTAAAATTCTACGTTTATTATTATATTTAAATATAAAAATTATTTTATTTTTATATTTAAATATAAATATTTAAAAAAATTGATTAATCTTTCGTTTCATGATTACCGAAAATTTTGATTTTAATTTAATTTAAAAACTAAAATCGAACAAAACCGAAGTTAACAAATTACAAAGAAACGATGGACGAATCTCTACGATTAATAAATAAATTTTTGACTTGTTAAAACAAAATCCTTCATCATCTACACATTCGTTTATCCTAATTTCGCGTCAAATCCCCATTGAGAGAGAAATTAATCACAACAGTTCTAAGATGCAAACAGATCCTTAATTAATCACTATTATTCCAACATTCCAGCCAAGTGACCAATCCACCCTCGACGCCGCGCATAAATTCTACCAAGGCCATCAACGGCCAACAAACAGCTTAACCAAATTACCCTCTCATCTGCAACTGTACGGGACAAACGCCCTAATTAGGCAAAGGATGGCGACACGGCGAACGTTCGAATGACACGCGAATCACCGACAAGATGGCCCGGTCGCGCGACAATTCTCTCGCCGTGGAAGGAACATCGCAATTAAGGAAATCAACGCAACGTATGGCCACTTAACGAGTGAATGACTAACGGAGATCCCTATCTTTGAAATGTACCGAGGGCGGTAAATGTCCGGCTTGTTAATACGGTTTGTTTATGACCGCGATACTACTGTTGCACCGGCCAATAAATTCGACGGCTAAGGGTGTGTTTGTCCCCGGTGCTGAGTGACGTTGGCAATGAGTCACGAGGAACGAGGGTGGGTTTACTTAGGTTTCGAGTTAAACGACGATTTTCACCGTGCCGATTCGTAACGTCGTCGTGTAAATAGCCACTCTTGGAGACGACCCGTCTGCGTTTACTTTCATTTCCAGCAGCCCGACTGGGAATTGGGGGTGTTATAAACAATCTATAGACCCGGATCTATACTTATCTCGACGAAATATAAATCGATAATACAAAGTATTTTACTACTATAGTATTAGTAATTTACTACTATAAGTCACTTACATTGCAAGTGGTTTGAACGCTTGATAGATTAGATTTGAATTTTTTTTATAAATATATTCCGAAAAAAACAGGATGGTGTCTTTTTTTTCGGAATATATTGTAAGTGAAATGAAGAAAGTACAATAAATAAAATCATATATTGATTGAATGGATTCGAAATTTTAATTTACTAGAAATTTTTTATATATTTTAATAATTATCTATTATATATGATATAATATCTTTTGATAAGATTTCTCTTATCAAAAGATATTATTTTTCTCTTTAATATCTTTAAAAATATTATGTATATATATTTTCACTGTATTGTGAATCAAATTCTTAAACGACGTTTTGAAATGAATTTTGCATTGAATTCAATCTAGATTTATAACTACATATTGAACTTGATCCCATTATTTATCTCGAGAAATGTCTTTATTCTCTGCTATGTTCCAGAAAGGGATATATACAGACATGTGAACCACTTGCTATGTGATATTGAATATGGACTTGTTTTATTGGATTAATGGCAAAAAAGGTCTAAGAGAGGAACTTCTTCAGACAGAAGATTTATGTCTATGTCTGACGTACTCTAATTGAATGATACGATGAAAAGTCGATAGTGCAGCTTATACTGTTTGCCACTTTTTGCTAGAGTGGAATAGAGAATGAATCTCTGTAATGTTTTTTTGAATGACAAGCAAGTATAATTTTTTAAAATAGATTTGATAAAAATACTTTATTATTATTTCAAAAAGAATTAAAGAGATTTTAAGATGTTATTTTTGAGATTATTTTAATTAATTTATTAATACCATGTGACACTTATACTTGTGTTGAATAAATTTGTTTAAAATTATAAAACTACAAACTACTAATAGATATTTTACTTTAAATATTAAGTATGAAATGAAATAATTGATTATATAAAAATTCAGTTATTAAAAATAAATGGAAAATTTAAGCACAATTTAAATAAACGTCAATATATATACATGTTATAAATATAAACATGTACAACTATCATTTGAATTTGAATTCTTTCTATAGCATCATCCTCTGGTTGGGTATACTTTGTTTCACTGTCAGACTGAAGAATGTAGCCACTTGTTCAGATCTCTTAAACAGGAGGGGCCTTTTTTGTTTTATACACTGAAGTGCACGTCTCCGGAACCCCTGTTTATATTCAACCATGATTTAAAGGACGAAATATTTACTCAACAAGATTTTTACGTCAAATAATTATGACTCAAGTATCCTTCCAATTGAAACATAAATATCTTCTAAGATTTTTATTTAAAAAAAAAAAGATAGAATTTGTTTTAAATTGATACTTGAAAGAATGAAAGAATTATTTTTGATGCCTGTCTATTGTAAAAACAATTCTATTTTGTTTTTCTAATGTTGTAATGATTGACCTGCAATGTATTTATTTTTTATTAATTTCACTGAATAATAATATAAATTCTGCTGAATATATCAATTAATTTAATTATTATTAACTTACCTTTCATATATTATAAATTGAAATTTGAACTTATGTAAAAAAAATTGCTAAAAGATTAAATATTAAAGAGAAGAATGAAGAACAATTGAGAGGATTGAGGAACAATCTCAGGTTACCCAAGCAATGAACGCAAGGAACTTAAATAATAATAAAGTATATTAAAAATCGTATACAATTTTGATTTCAATATATGCATATGTATAACGATATGATCATCGGTCGTCGATTAATTACTATGGCAACATAAAAAACTTGTACAAAAATGGCGGTCGAACGTAGAATCGAATCAAACAAGAGAATTCATATATTTTCGAGAAAAAAGAATATAAAAGCTGAGCGAGGAAAACGTACAAAAGAAAAATAGAGGGAAATACGACTATTTCGAAATTCCAAATATATCTTTTCTTACTATAAAAATTTGAAGAAGAATAAAAAAAAAATAAAAGAATCATACCTCGTGAACCAATTTGATGGATGAAATTCCGGAACACACTCGTTACACACAGTATTTTCCATTTTATTGACAATCATCGTGACAAAAAGTGGCTTACAAATACTCGTTATAAACTCCTTTCTCTCGTTTTTCTAACGTCGCGTTCGTTCTTTTCGTCGCATCAATCGTTCTGCCATTGCGATAGCAGCGCACTCTTTCACTTTTTCTTTCCCCCTCTGTCTCGTTCTCCCGCCTTTTTTCCTCTCTTCCCACTACTACCATCTCAACAATCTCATTTCATCCCATTCCGTCGCATTATTCTTTCTCACTCTTTCCAACGTCACTGATCGTTCACGAACGCGACATTGTCCGTTTTCGCTCGTAACAGCTTGGCGTGATATGTGACACTAAAGGTTCTTTACTCTCACTACTTTACAACATTACACGTGTACGTTTTCGTTTGGCAGGGGTAACCCGTTCGGATTGCGATACGGATTGTGATTTTATTATTATTTTTTTTTAAGTTGCTTGAGGCAGTTATCGTTTTTCAGTCCTTTTGTTTCTTTCCGTTCCTTTTCATTTCTTATACATATATCTTTCTTATTTTTTTCCGCGTGCACTCGCGTCCCACCTGCACCACTCACGAGACATCTCGCGGATCGATCGCAAAATTCCAACAACTGTTAAAAAAGGCAAGCATCGAAGTGGAAATAGAAAAAGTACATAACCGAGATGTTTCACTCTTGCTAGTGTTGAAAGAATTCTTCATCTCACACAGTCACACTTTTGAAATGTCCCGTGAAAAGGAACAGAATAGAAATGAAACACGAGATGCGGTCTCGAGAATTGTATTTCTCCTTCTAGTCCTCCCCTTTTTCCTCCAACGATTAGAAAAATTGTGAAATATCGACATTGCATCGCAGAAGCACGCACGTCTTCGTAATGAAATCTCGAATATGCTTCCACAATCATATATGTATATGTATATATATATATATATATATATTTATATTTATATATTTATAATGTATATTTGTAATATATATATATATATATTTATGTACTTAACGATTTATTTATTTATTCGATTTCGCACTCTGTCAACAGCTACTTGTCTATTGCGCGGATATAAAAAAAAACACTTGAGGTGTGTATGTCTTAATTTGTCTTAATTTTTTTTCCCGTTTTATCTACAATTTAATCTCGGAATACACAGAACTTTTTCATATTCTTTTCTCTACGACGATGTGCGAGCATGTACGACACTGTATTTGCGTGTATCGATAGTATGTGAATCTGTATATGTAAATCTGTATATGTCTGTGCGTATATGCATGATTCAAGTCTCCATTAAAGACGGAAAACCATGCGAGATATAAAACAAATCTTATTCGGAATCTCTGCACTTCTTTTTTTGTCAGCTACGTTCAAGACGCGTATATATATATCATATACATATATATATATATATAAAACGATAAAGGTTAAGGGGGGGCTTCGTTCGGCGGTAAAAAAGACATGTTCGGCATCCGAAATCATGTTTTAACGTATGTATACATACCGTAAGCACACGTTTTTATTTCTTCTCTTCACGACGCATTCACGATTGACGCGTTCCTTCGCCCGCGGCAAGACTAGCGGCTCCTTCGAAGCTTTTTTTACGATATTGTTATTTGATACGCATTACTCATTGCACCAAGTTTTCGACACGATTTCTTCACATTTTTACATCGTGTCTTTCATCGACGAAAGATTTTCTTCGAAAGATATTAAACGAATATCGAAGCTCCACGGACTACGAATTACAATATATGCGTAAAAAGGAACGCGCCATTACCGCGACTGCGCAATGCTCGCGTCTGTACACTCGTCTCGACCGATAAATCGTTTTTTGATGATCGTTTCTGTTCCACTTCTCTTTTATATTTACAGCATTTTTATCTAAAATCTAAGAATAATATTTACAGTTACCTTCATTCTCCACATTTTTCTTCTTTCTCTTATACGTCTGCGCTATACACTTGCTCGTCGCACTTCATACGATCGACGGCGGTGAGCCTGTATTCATGGTTATGAGTACTTTTTTCATCGCTCGAGATGATCAGTCGATCCTTCCTTTTCTTATAAACCGACATTTGCTCGCTCTGACTAAAAAATCGTATGAAATTACAAAAAAACACGCACTTTGGAATGCCGGACCACCGCCGTAACCTTTAAGTAACGACATCTATAGAAAGTCCGTGTTTTACACCTATACTTCTGTTATGGCTAGGTTAGATAAATAGACGAGACGATACACGTTAGACGGACATGCGGACTTTACGAGTTCCGCTACGGTATATAAGTAAGAAAGATTACAGATAGATACGAATAAGAGAGAATTTTCTTGCACACTGTTCCATTTGCGCGATTCACTCACTCATTACACTACATTCAATCCACGCACTTACATCACAATCTCACTACACCAGCCGGTCTCGAGCGCCATTTTCCGAATCGTAGCCCTCTAGCGTCGACGCTTCGAAGTTTGATACGTTATTTCCGCGCTTCAATTCGAATCCAATTATATATATCCACGTTCCAATTATATATAGAAAATTTTCTTCGAATCGGTACAGGATATTATTACCCGTTGATCTACAAGTAACACAGGTTAAAAAATGATGTAAAAACTACAAAAGAGACGATTCGAGACCCACGAAAAAGACACGTACGGGCTAATACGTATATCGGGTAATCGAGAAGCACCGTCGCGAGTCGACGAGGTTGTTCGACACGCGTCGTAAACAGCCACACCACGGAGGTACCGAGAAACGCACGAATCTACCCGATCCCTTTCCCCCCTTTGTTTCAACGTCGTAACAACGACGAATAACTCGTTATCAGAGATCGATTCATACCTCGGTCGCCTGGGTATAAGAAGGCGCGAGTCCGTGCGCTGGCGTGAGGGGGCCCGTGGTCGATGCCAACGACCTCCTCGAATATATCGTGGCCGCCGAGTGTGGCGTGTGTGGCGCCGTATGGGGCGCTGTGTGCGGCGTGTGCCTGCGCGAGGCCGAGGCGAAGGGCTAAATGGGCCCGTAGTTGCTAAGGGCGGAAGGCCTCTCTTGTTGCACCGATTGCTGTTGCTGCTGCTGCTGATCGCAGCCCGCGGTGTTCATGTCGCCTCCCGCCGACTGGTGACGTCATACGTGCGACAGAGGGGGTTGTTTGAGGACGTGATGATGGAGATGATGTTGGGACGCGCTGGCCACGCTCCCAGGAGGGAGTAGAGCGCTTCCAGGTCCCGGAGCTGGTGGATACGGCACTCCTACACGCCCTACTACGCCCTTGATGCTGGTGCTGCCTATACCTCCGCTGACGCCTGTCACGCCTGCTACCATACCTGCGCCACCGCCTCCGTGACCTCCGCCGCTTCCGCCGCTGAACAAGCGCCTCCACAGACGTTTCCACGAGTCGACGGTTTTGCCGCTCCATATCCACACGCCTGACGTAATACCTACCGCGAGCGCCATAAAGTACTTGAGCATCAGGACGGAGTAGAGAGGTCTTGCTCTTGGCCGACAGGGGCACGCCAACGAATCGAGCCACTCGTTTCTTAACGACGTCTCGTACATATGGCAGGCCAACACCACCCCGGCTGGTAGGGTGTATAGAACGCTGAACACGCCAATTCTTATCATCAGTTTCTCCAATTTGTCCGCTTTCGCCCCCGGTTGACGTTTTATCACCGAACGGATTCTGAACAGGCTCACGAAACCCGCCAGAAGGAAGCTCGTTCCCAATAGAAGGTACACGAACAACGGCACCAGAATGAACGATCGCACTCCATCCGGAGCTACCGTGCAGACTCCTGCCACCGGATCCCCCGCTACTCCCCCGGCTAGGTACGCCGAGAACGTTTGGACCGCCGGTGCTAGCCACGCTGCTAGATGAAAGTATTGGGAGTACGAGGCTATCGCCTCGTTCCCCCACTTCAGACCCGCCGCCAGGAACCACGTGAACGCCAGGATCACCCACCAGACCGAAGACGCCATTCCGAAGAAATAGATCATCAGGAAGACTGCCACGCAAGCCTCCGGTCCCTGTGCCCTCGACTTCAGTGCCAATCCATCGCAGGCGATCTCCTCGTGGCCGAACACGCTCCTCGACAGGTAACCTATCGAGACGGCGAAGTAGCAGGCTGACAGGAACACTATCGGTCTCTCAGGATACTTGAAGCGCTGGGTGTCGATCAGAAACGTGGTGACGGTCACGAGCGTGCTTGCGGCGCACAGGCCGCTCCACAGTGCCAGCCACACGGCCGCGAACCCTCGTTCTTCGGAGGTGAGGAACGCCCCGTGGCACGGGAGTGCGCAATTCGGTACTCCTGCAATGTCCTGGATGATGTTCCTGGCGATGCTTATCGGTGGCGCCGGTATGACCCCACTTACGGCCATGCCTGCCAGCCCAGCCCCGTTGCCTATGCTTCCGGTGCTGCTGCCGCTTATCGGTCCCGGAATGACCGTGCCCCCCGCCCCCAGGGGTACGAGGGGTGGCCTGCACCGGCACACGCAATCCCTCGCCCTTTCCCCCGGGGGATGCTGGCAGTTTTTTTGATTTTTCCCTGGCCTACACCGCGGTGGTTGGGTCGTCTTGGACGGCCTGGTCGGGCGCGGTTGTGCTGCGGGCAAAGGCGCGCTGCTCGCTGCTCCTCCGTTACCGGATCCGTATCCGGTGCTGCTCGTGTGATTGTCCTGTTCCATGCATAAATTCTCTGGGTCACCGTGGGCCGGCAATCTTTCACACGCCATCCTCTCCGGCCAGGAGAATCCGTATTGCTGCATCAACGGCGCACAACCGGCCCTGGCTCTCTCGCAGACGCTTCTGCAAGCGGGCAGAGGTTTGGTGTATTCGGGCAAGCATATCGGCGTGTACATAGAGCACAAGAAGAACTTCAAGTCGGGGGAACATTTGATCTCCACCAACGGCCAGAATTGATGCACCTCCAGCCCGGCTTCTTCCTGATTGTCGTGATTCAATTCGTTGGGCATCGCCGTCAGATTATACCCGATCCCTCGACACATCGGGATCGTGATCTCCTCGCAACGCCCGTTTCCATTCACTCCCGTTCCACCGCCAAGGGACGAGTGTCCGACGCCGCTGCTTCCACCCCCGACCACGCTGTTACCAGACCCTACCATGCTGCCGGAAGACGAGCCACTGCCAGCTACGCCGCCCACCATCGACGAGGAGGAGGAGGAAGAAGAGGACGACGAGGAACCGCTCGATACCGAGCCCACGTTGCTCACTGGATTGATCGCCGATTCTAATCGCACATTTGGCAATACTGCGAGCACCAGCAATGATAACAGGGGAGCCATCGTTCGGCTGGGAAGCAGCTTCGTCCGTCGAACGAGTCCCATTTTCCTTGATTGCTTGCCTTTACTTCTGTGTGGGTCGCATTACTCCGGCCTGCAACAAAAAATTGTTATCTCATGTTAGTTACGAATAAAACAAGTTTTTAATCTTTTTAACATTCTCCTAGCTTTTCGGATTCCTTTGTATCTCTCATTCCGTCTCAAATAACAAGTTTTCCAAGCTGTTTTAAATTTTAAAAAGAGCAAAATTTACACGATTTAGAATAGGAAGCATAAATGATTCTCGAACACACAAATTCGTTCGGTTAACATATGGAGTAAGCGAGAAAATATTCCAGAGTAACGCATGTAATTTTCTATGTTATCTCCAACTTTTAGCAAGTTTGTCGCTAATATATGTGTCACCGATAGTGGACAAACATGGAATGTTTTAGATGGTGCTGCTATATATATATAATGTATGCATATCAATTAGAATAATGGATGGACGTTATCTTTCAATTTTCTTGCAATCGTATTTCTTCGAACACTATTATTGTTACCCAATTCATAACTGGAGCGTACTGATAAAACTCTAGTTACGCTTTAAAAAAGAAAGGCTTTGTTCGATTCTTCGAAAGAATTCACAAAGAAAGATTTAAAAACTTATTCGTATCATTCGATATTTTCGTTATGCTTATTTTTCTCGATGCATATTGATCGATATCGTTTGTTGTTTATGTATTTTATAATTCATTCAGAGATTAAATTCATTTTCCGACAATGTAACCTCCTAATTTTCTTCCATAGATGATATTGGAACAATAGATTTATAATAACATTGAAAATTATCACGAAATTCATACGCATCTCGAATAATACACGTCTTTGTTAATTATGAATGTTTTAAAAGTTTTTAATAGTCTTTTTGGTTAATCGATTTTGAAATTCATTTACGTCTCTTACACATCCATAACAAGTTTTTGGTTCCTATTTTATTTGATCTTCTACAACCGCGTCAAATTATTTTTAAAACAAATCCTTTTCCCCATATCATCTATCTCGCCCCATAATCAGCCATCACTTCGTCTCCTCAATAAAATCCTTTCCCCATCCCCGTTCGAACAGGATGCAACAAAAACGTGTTCAATCCCTTTACGGTGGTCCTAATTAAACTCGAGAACGAAGGTGGTTCTTCTCGCCGCTTTTTCTCCTCTTTTTTTTTTTCCTCCTCTGTTTAAAGAAGAAAAAAGACATCGAACTAAGCATAACATTATATAACGCGAATCTAAAGACGATCAGCCGTCCTTCGTATTTGCATAACCACTCGCCGAATCTCGATTCGTTAAGAGGCCGCCGAAAGACGCGGCTGTCTGCGACCCTAACGAACACGAAGGGCGCGGGGTTCAGGTGGCTGCCGCATAAATCAACGTCCAAAGAGGCTAGATCCTTCGCTGGAGGATCCCAAACCAAGAGAGAGGATACGCACACTCGTGCAGAATAGGGAGGAACTCGTCTAGATTGGTACGCCGTGCATGTCTTTCACGAAGAAAAGAAACGAAAGGGGAGGGAGAGAGAAAGAGAGAGATGGAAAATTGGAGGAAACGGGGAGGGGAGCGAGACGCACGACGAGCGAATATACGACGATAGTACGTAGCGAGAAAGGTTAACGCGCAACGAAAAGTCACGGGGGGAGTGTGGTGGTGCTGCTGCTGCAGCCACGACAGTCGGTGGATCTTATAATAGTCGGAGCCGCGGAAAACACGTGACCGGAGCGAAATGTTATTGTAGGAGGCGGTGTTAGTTTTACCGTTTGTTAACTGCTAGCACCCCAAAGCACGCGCCGCTATTTATAAGACTTAAAACCCGCCACTGTTGCATCTTCTTGCGAGGAACGATTCTCCTCCTCCTCCTCCTCCTCCTCGTTTTCATCTTGGCTACGTGTGTGGCTCGTGGCCGGGATGTGGATTGACACGCGCGAGGAAAGGATCAAGAAGAGAACGCGGTCCTGACCGACGTGGAAGACCTGTCTCTGAATGGAAGGATTGAGAAAGAACAGAAGGATCGAAGGAGGGAGGAAGAGAAAAAGGCCGTCTAGCCGAGACGGGATGTGTGTTCTTTTCTCTCCTGCTTTTGACTTCCGGTTTTAAAGGCTAGTTTATACGCTGACTGATTGCCTGTGAATAATCGTAGTTCATTGCTTGTGGAACCGAGATGAATGGTGGAAATGGTCTGGAACACTTTATTAGCCGCTATTTTAACTTTTGCAACAGATAATAGAAGATAAAAATAGTCCTTGAGCAATTATTGGTTTTAGCACTTTACAAGTATATTTGAAGAGAAGCTTTATAAACTATCGAGAGGATAGTTTTATTTTATGTGTTAAATTTTATACTATACTCGATTCATAAAATTTATTGGTTTATTGCATAAACGTTGTACGTTTTCTCTTAATGTTTTCGAAAAGAATAGATTTAAATATTCAAAGTATATAAGATTTTTAAGGAATTTATAAAGTGAATGGAAAAATTATATATCAGGGTCTCAATCATTTTATAATCCATATGCACAATTCTGCAATATCGCTAAACTGTTAACGCACAGCAATGTAAATATTATTCTTGGGCAACGTCTGTCGATAGATAAATTTCAAACGAAAGGAAGAAAGATTTGAGTTATAGTTCGCGATTTTAAACCATTCTTTCGTCATGAACAATGGTATTCAAACGAAAGAGATGAGAGATTCGAGGGAGAAGACCTCGAGAATCAAGGATCCTTAAAAGCTCTAGTTTTTTTTAAATGTTGCAATCCGCAAGTGGCTAGTCGATCGTCGTCGTCGTCGTCGTCTCGAAACGAATGCGCGGCACTCACCCAATGCCGCTTTTAATGAAGAAGAAACGTATAAAGAGCGCGTCTCCACCCTTTCATGGCAGCATTCAACCAGAGAAAAGATCAACCGAGTGGAATGAGAATTCGATATTCATAACCGTCGACTCGTAATGTCTCAATGCTCGAATTTAATCGGTATTTTCGTGATGTAATCACCTTGTATCGATCAACGTAATCGTCGCATTTTTAATTTTAGCCACCCCTCTCCACCGAGACTCCCCCGATAATTGAAAACACGTGAGTCATGCGAGCGAAACACACGCACCCACACAAGATATCCTTTGTTTTATTGCGTGAACCTCACGATTTATAGACACGTGATGGCTAATGGAACTGCAACACTCAAAATTCTAAACAATCAACTTATGATTTTAATATTGTTTTTCGACAATAATATTCTGAAGCGTAACTATTTCTCGATCGAATCAAAAGAATCACGAATCCATTTCCAAGTAACTACAATCGATTCAATTAAACATGGCCATCACTGTCTCCTATGCAACGCCAATCTTAACTATCATACACAGATGATAAATACATACGTATTCGATGCAAACAATGCATCGTTCGGAACATAAAAACGCAGACGCGAAAACAGACGTGCACACCTTTTCGATTATTAATCGCCACGTGGCCGAACCATCGTAATTCATCCGGCCAAACGGATACCACACTCGGCTCTCCTTATACCGGAACACGGTCACGCGCGATTCGATCGATCGATCGTTAATCGTCCAACAACAACGTGCAAAGCTTATTGACGCGTCCAGGCTGGCCCACGACTGGAAATTATCGCGTTTTCGAACGCGATACCTTGGCTTGGGAACGAGCTTCGCTTATTATTCCGGCCTCACCTTGGCGCTCCTTCCCTCTACGTGACTTACCACGCGCCACCATTCACCACCGTCTTCTTCTTCTTCTTCTTCTCGAGAAACGCGCGGGATTCGTGATAAAGACTATGCTTTCCTCTCTCTCTTTCTGTCTCTCGACCCGTTATAATTCCCCATTAAGGAACATTTTCGCGGGAATAACGTTCTCCACGAAGGCGAAGGGGGATGTTTCGTGTAATGAATCAGTTTTAAAGACCTCGCCCCCTCCCCTCCCCTTCTTGGCCAGGAATACGCGTTTCGCGTTTGGCGGCGGCGTTGTTTGCCTTATGATTTATTTCTCTCGCATGCAAATCCCGCGCGCCCTGCTTCTTCCTCTCTTCTGGGTTTCTTTCCTGGGATGTGGGCGGGACGAGAATATTTCCGAGGGAATTTTTCTTGGGACGTCTCCTCTGATTGCGAGGGAGGGCTTTTTTTTTTTTTTTATTTCGAAAGGGTTTCGGGCGATGGTAGCTATCGTCTGATCTAATCTTTCTTGAAGAATTGCTTTATTAAAGGGTTCTTCGTCTTTTTGATATTGGTAATCATGTGATGCAACATTTAATCGGTTGGGTTTTACTTCTATTTGCATATATTTCGTAATATTGTTCCATAGTGCAAGGATTTCCAAAATAAGGATTCTGTTAAATATTAATAAAATCGTTAAGATAATATCGGTTCAATAAATTTCTGGTATAATTTATGGATTATAAAAAATTATTACTTTCAAAAATGAATTCTCATGTATAAAAATTTTGAGAATCATGTATAGTGTTACAAGAAATTTTTATATCCTGAATTTTTATTTCTTTCTTATTATATATATATATAATATTAATAAAATCGTTAAGATAATATCGGTTCAATAAATTTCTAGTATAGTGTATAATTTATGGATTATAAAAAATTATTACTTTCAAAAATGAATTCTCATGTATAAAAATTTTGAGAATCAATGTATAGTGTTACAAGCAATTTTTATATCCTGAATTTTTATTTCTTTCTTTGGGATTATTATTGAAGATATTTCAAAATTATTATTTCTTTTTCTCTTTTTTTTTTTTTTTTCATTATTATTACACATTAATATTCATATAGAAGTATAAAAATGTCAAATATACTCGATTCCTATCAGAATTTTTAATGAAAGCGATAAACTATCTTCGAAAGATAAATTAAGAATACAAAAGTGATAAAAAGGCTCGTATAAATTTTTTCCCCAGTCACGACCAATTTTTTTAAAGCGGTTGATAGGTCACGTACGAAAACAAACGTCGAAAGAATGTTAGGTATAAAAAGAAGAGAAGGCCTTCTCCGTCCAATTGGATTTCCGAGCAGGGATTCGAACTCGAATTTTTCT